AGTACTTGGTTGCTACCCTCTTTGATACTCGTCGATTTTGCTACAGAGATCAAAAGAATTTTTGCACGGAATGAGAAAAGTCATTATTTCACTCGTTTTTCTCGATTGAACTCTTTGCTGGGTTGATCAATTGTCGAGACGGAATATCATGTTGAGGTGGTGAGGAAATCCGAGACGCAATTAGATGCAAATTATCCTTTCGTTGTCAGCACAAATCCCACTCTCTCTCTCTGTTTGAACGGCATATTCGCGCGAAGCTGATCCTACGGGGCTCGGTGTCTTGTCAATCGTTCGTTTTCTCTAATCTCTCTCTCTCTCCCATTAGTTGTCTCTTCATTCGCACTGGAAGAGTTGATAACCATTTGAATGCCTGTGAACTTCGTGCACATCCAATTCTTATGGATTCCATGCATCCGGTGCACAAATTTAACTTCCTGTCGTTCCCATCCGTCTATACTAGATTGCAATTGTTTTTGTTCCCCTTGAGGCATAAGCATATGATAACTCTACGCCACCCAAACAGATTTTGGAAAAAGGTTCTAGATTTTTGATTGAAATGTTAGCTCTGACGTTGCAAAAGTCAGAACCACAATACAGTATACAGTATATAACTACATTCGGCGGTGTATCGTGATTTCTTTGGTTATTTTTCTATCTTTCGGACTCGTGCGCACACACTTCATATGGACCGTGTTTTAAACACCAGCACACTGCAAACGCTGTCAGGCACACAACAAAATAAATCGCCCGAACCGCATTGTCCCGGAGGCGGTGCACAGCTGTTGTTTTGTTTCTTACGCTTACTTACTTCCGTCTGACAGACGTTGATTTGTTTAAGGCTTGTCACTCTCATCAGCCCTCCACCCCACCCCCGCCGTAGCTTTTTCGTTGATATCGCCACACTCAATGTTATCTCCTTCACTTATTCTCAACTTTATTCTCTTATTCCAGCAAACAGCCGAGTGGGTTCTGATCCATTGACCGGTTCTGACAACTCCGGTCCTTATGTGACCAGCACAGCTCTCCTCTCACCCATGACTACTGCCACAGTCGTATCCAGCTGTGCGGGTGGTCTCACGCCGACCGCATGCGCGGGAACAATTC